GACCCCACATAGTTGGGGAGTGTGAGTTGTACAGGAAGGAAAGAGAGGATCTCGAGGAGGAAATGAGACAGAGAGGGTGTGACATGGACAAGTTTGGTAAGTTAGACAACAGCGAAAAAACGATCGCGATAATTGGGGATAGATGGTGGGCACAAGAGGCCCTAGAGGACGGGGATAAGATGTGCAAGAAATTTTTATGGAGTTTGTGGCAGAAACGTAAAGAGCTCCCAAATGTTGGTGGTGTCTCTAGTAGGTGTAGGAACGGTGCTCCGTCTCGAAAGGGACGCGTGGTCAATGGTCAAATGACTACGGCAAGCAACAAATGAGTACGCCCCCCCCCCCCCCCCCCCTCTCTCTTGCGACAACCCTCCAACCACCCCTCCCTTTTCTAACCGAAACCGCACAGGGTTGGCGACAGTACTCTCCCTGCTCGGCCTCTCGGCGACGTACGCGGGCAAGGTTATGGGCAGCAGTGCCTTCGGCACCGGCCTGGGGGCGACAGTCCTGCCGCTCGCCGCGTCCGCTTTCGCCGTTGCGATGGGCCTGAATGTCCTAGAGCTGGTGCAGCTGAACTTTCCGTCGTTCGAGGGGGGGCTCGACTACATGACGAGTCTTCCGAAAAATGCTCGCGCCTACTTGCTGGGTGAGTGCCGTTCCTATCTCTGGATGTGACTGATCAAAAGCTTGAGGCTAGCCGTATGTTTGTCGCTTTCTTGTGAGAGTCAGGGAGATTAAAAGAGACACACTTTTGCCCGTGGTCTGACTTGCGTCCCACTGTCGACAGTGCATCGGATGAGCCTGCGCCGTTTACCCCTACAAGGTGCTGAGAATCTGTAAAGCACACGCTAGATTCAGTGTTTGACTATTCGTGTCAGCACACCGTTGTTCGCGGGCGAACGCTTGTGTGTACACGCGCCCGCTCATGGAGTGTTTTTCCGAAGGAAGTTTGCAGCTCGATACAGCATAGAAGTGACGGTCTGTAACCGGAAGGGGGGGGTCGTGATCATCCCCTAGGGAGGAGGTGGTCACAAAGTTCGCGGGAACCCCAAACACCAATATAAGCCCTACCACACCTTATGACTTGAATGTTGGAGACAAGCAGCAAGCTGGCAAAGCTTATCCGGGAACCCCATCGATCTCGGTTGGTTCGTGATCCATCGTCGCTAGTCCTGGGATGAGAGCCCATATGCTGAGCTTTGACGCATAGAGGTCACTCTGCGTTTAGCTTAGATCCTTCATCTTATCTATCAGACCCCAAACACGAACTGCGGCATAACTACAGCCTCACCATCGTCACTGGGTGCCACACATCGGATGGCAAGATCTCCGAGCGGCTGGATATGTACCGACGAACGCCCGATTCCACCACACTCGAGAGAGCCGGGGCCATCAAGAGCTATACTCAAAGTGCTCGAGACTATACCTATTAATAGTGTCTTCCTTCGTTGAGGGCTTAAGCGCGCTCGCGTCTGTGCCGGCCTGGAACCCTTTCTACATTTTGTTAGGCATCCCCACTCAATCTTGCTCTAACACGAAGCACCCGTCTCGTGCCCCCCCCCCCCCCCCCCCCCGGCCCCCGGGCCCCCCAAAAAAAACCCAGGGCGGCCTCCGCCCCCCTGGGGGCCCCCTGGTGGCCCCCCCTGGTCCCGGTCCTCCCCCGGTTTCTTCCGGACCCCCAAGAACCCGGCCCCCGGCCGGGCCCCCCGGGCCCCCAACCCGGCGGGGAAAACAAACCCCCCCAT